GGGGACGCATGTGGACGGTGGCATGGGGCCACGAAGCACTGTACTGTGTGGGGGGGGACGTATGTGGACGGTGGCACCGGGGCCTTCGGTGAAGCTCCCTATGGGGCCACGAAGCGCTGTACTGAGTGGGGGGGACGCATGTGGACGGTGGCACTGGGGCCTTCGGTGGAGCTCCCCATGGGGCCACGCAGCGCTGCACTGAGTGGGGGGGACGCATGTGGACGGTTGCACTGGAGCCTTCGGTAGAGCTCCCTATGGGGCCACGAAGCGCTGTACTGAGTGGGGGGGGCGCATGTGGACGGTGGCACTGGGGCCTTCGGTGGAGCTCCCTATGGGGCTACGAAGCGCTGTACTGGGTGGGTGAAACGCAAGGAAGAGGGGGAGGAGGGAGGAGGAGGGAGGAGGGGGAGGAGGAGAGGAGAGGAGAGGAGGAGAACGCGGGGACCGTCTCTTCAAAACGAGGACCCAACACCACAGGATGGTTGGGAAAAACGCAAGAGAAATCAACGATTTGTAGCTTCCAGGGCACTCGTCTGGGCCCTCGGGCGCCCACTGAAGCCTGCCCGAGGCCGTCCTGGCGCAGCCCGAAGCCTTCGGGGGCCGTTCACAAGACATCTTCGGCGCTCTCGGGGTGTGCTGGGCCGATTTGGTCGTCAGTCGTATCAACTTTTGGGCTACCTGTGCGCCCGCGGGGCCACTATGGAGGCCACGAAGGCGCTCGTGTGGCTCCTGCCCCCCCCATGAGACGCCGGGGCCGTGGTTCTGGGCCCGCCCCTGGCCTACTCGTAGGCGCCTCGTGGGCCGTCTTGGGAAAATACTGGGGGCCTCTGGGGTCGTCGTCAGCGCCGCGAAAGCCGTCGGCCGCGCCGCGAGAGCCAAACCGTCGGACATGTTAAAAATGCACGCTTTCGCAGGCGAAACCAAGGATTTGGGGCGGTTGGGGTCCTGTGGGGGCGTCTGGGCGGCGTGCGCGGCTCTCTGAGAGGCATCTCGGGCATCTTGGGGGCCACCCGTCGGCGACAGGTGGCCGTCCCAGGGCTGCCCAGGCCTCCTCCCTCCCGAGCGGCTCCGGCGAGCCATGGACCCCATGCCCCGTCGAGGCGCCGGCCCCGGAGGCCCCCACCCTATACCCCGGTATATGTATGTATGTATGTATGTATGTATGTATGTTTGTTTGTTTGTATGTATGTATGTATGTATGTATGTATGTATGTATGTATGTATGTATGTATGTATGTATGTATGTGTGTAGATGTGTATATATATACATATATACACATGTATTTATATACTACAACCATCGCCCGCGCTTCGAGCGCGCTCAGGTTCTAGTAGGCCGCAGGCCTTGACGACTTCACTGCTCCACTGAAGTAGTGGACCACAGATGGTTTAAACGGGAAGTGAAGAAATGTCCATAACGCCGACTAAACGCATTATGGGCAAGAAGAAGTCCATGCGCGTCGATCCGCATTCTGGAAGGCTTTCGGGAAAAATGGTTACGTAGGGGAGCGGAGGCCTGATGAATCGAGTTCCCACAAGGCCTTCTGGGAACATTGTTTTTGCGGCGTCTTGGGGAGCCTGTTGGGGCGTGCCGTCGTCGTCGTCGTCGTCGTCGTCGTCGTCGTCCTCCTCCTCCTCCTCGTAATGTCGTCGTCGCCTCTTAGGGCGCGCCGTCGTCGTCGCGGTCGTCGTCGTTGTCGTCGTCGTCGACGTCGTCATCGTGGTCCTCGTCCTCGTTCTCGTCTTCGTCGTTTCGTCGTCTTCGTCGTCGTCGTCGGATGGACCCCTCCCAAGATCCATCCAACACTTCTGGACCCCCTCCGAAGGACCTCCTGACCCCCTCCGTAAGACCGGCTGAAACCGATCACTAAGTCGCAGACTCGGGCCCCAACGTACGGAGAAGCCGGAACACGTCCTGGGTGCTACCAAACGGTTCAACATGGCACTTGGAGCAACTTTGCGCGAAAAGATCCACGGAGGGCCGCGAGAAGGCGATCAGTCATGTTCCCAGTCAACTTCCCAGACAGATCTCCGGTAGAATGATGATACTTCGGAGCCTCCGGAAACTCTCGGGCCCATGATGAACCATGTCCCCGAAAGGCTTTCTGGAGACATGATTTATTGGGGTGTTGGGGGGCCTCTTGGGCGTTCCCTGGGGGCCCCTTGGGGGCCTCTTGCGGTTTCCTCGGGGCCTCTTGGGGGCCTCACGGGGATTCTTGGGAGCCTCTTGGTGGCCTCCGGGGGCCTACTGGGGGCCTCTAGGGCCAGAGGTCTCGAAATATCGGTTCGTGATCCCCCTCTGGGCCCACTTGTGGGGCGCTCTTGGGGCACACTTGGGTTGTGTGGGGAGCCTCCTGGGCCGTCTTGGGGCCCTCGTCGGGGCCTCGAGGGCCGTCTTGGAGCGATCTGAAGGGCCTCCGACGCCGTGGGGGAGCGTTGGGAAGCGGCGACAGCGACATCGCCAAAATCCTTCAAAAACTACTGGGAAACTGACGAATTGTGTCTCCCAGGGCCCTCTTGGGGAACCTCTTGAGGACGTCCTGGAGCGTGTTAGAGTCTTCGTTGGCCGTCGTGAGGGCATCCTCCTACCCTTCTCATCTATCTGTCGTTCCTGCATGAGTTCGGCGTCGGTTGTCAATTCGAACGCAGCGAATTCGGACTGGGTGTGTCTTGTTTCCCCCCCTGTCTGGCGGTAGTACCAGTTCGGGGGCTCTTGGGACCGTATTGGGACCTGAAAGGACCTGTCTTGGGGGACCCCCTCAGCCTGTCGCGGCCTGTTTCGTGGCGGGCCCGGGCCGTCTCGGGAGCTCTGGGACCCGCCCAAAAACCTCGGGGGGCGCCCATGGAGGGCACAGGCAGCGGCCTGCCCCCCCCCCACCCCCCCGGCCTACTCCGACATATATATATATATATATATATATATATGTATATATGTACATAAAAATAAACATACACATATATAAATATACATATACAAATACAAATACACATACACATGCAACTACACATACACATACCTATGCATGTTCGTATACATATACACACATATATGTATATATACATATACATATACATATACATATACATATACTTACACAAAACATTCATACATACATACATACATACATACATACATACATGCATACATACATACGTAGATACATACACACATGCATACACACATGCATACGTACATACAGATGTGTGTATGTTTATTCTATATATGCTACCTGAGGAAAACCAATCACGGCTATAGGGCTAGGGGGCTATAGGGCTATAGAGCTATAGGACTATAGAGTTGTAGGGCTGTAGGGCTATAGATCTATAGGACTATAGAACTGTAGGGCTATAGGGCTATTGGGCTATAGGGTTATAGGGTTCCTCCGGGCACGCCGGGGCACCCCCCGGGCACCCGGGCCCCGGGCACCCCCGGGCACCCGGGCACCCAGGCGTGCAGCGAAAATCGGCGACAAACCGAACCTAACCATATGAATCCGCGAGGGCCCCTACAGAGGCAAACTCTGATTGGGGAATATATATATATATATGTGATACCAGAGAATAACCAAAGCATAATCTTTTTTAATGCTATAGGGCTATGGGGCTAAATGGCTATAGGGCTATAGGTCTATAAGGCTATAGGGCTATAGGACTAGACGGCTCGAGAGCTATAGGGCTAAAGGTTACAGCGGTATGAAACTATGGAGCTATTAGGCCAATAGGGTTGTAAAGCTATTGGGGCTATTGGGCTATAGGGCTACAGGGCTACAGGGCTATAGGGCTATAAGGCTATAAGGCTCTAGGGCTATCAGGCTATAGGGCTACCGGGCGGGCACCCGGGCACCCCCGGGCACGCCTGGGCACCCGGGCACCCGGGCACCCCCGGGCCCCCGGGCACCCGGGCGTGCCGCGAAAATCGGCGGCAAACCTAACCTAACCATATGAATCCGCTAGGACCCCTACAGAAGCAAGCTCCGATTGGGGACTATACATTTACATGTACATTTACATTTACACATACATATACATATACATATACATATACATATATATATACATATACTTGAGCAGGCCGAAAGATTTTCCTCTTGAGACCCACATGACAAATTCGAAGTGTCGTTGACTTTAGCGGATGCGGACGCAGCGATCATATCGCGCTTGCGTCGAGGTGGGGTGCGGCATATGTTATGGGAGACTGCGGGAGTTGGCCAGGCCCGCTGTGGCGCTCGAGCACCCACATGTTATGGAGGCTGCGGGAGTTGGCCGGGGCAGCTGTGGCGGTCGAGCAACGACCTGTTATAAGAGGGGTTCGGAGAGGTGGCCAGGCCCGCTCTGGCGCTCGAGCTCCCGACTTGGGCACCGCGGTCGTTTTCCCTCCTCCTCCCTCCTCCCTCATCCGCCTCTTCCGTCCTCCCTCCTCGTCCGCCTCCCTCCTCGGTAGGGGAACCCCATCCCCCGTAGAATCATAGCTTGGGCTGCAGGTTCAAGGTTCCATGGATCCATTTCCCCTTGGGTCCCTAGTATTCATTGCTATTATAAACTCATTCAAACAAAAGAATTGGATCTACGAAGCTTCCACGCCAAACAATTTGATCCAGAAGACACGGAGACTGGATCCACGTGACTCTCGCACACACGTAATTGGATCAAAACGGATCCATGCGTTCCCATGCAAGAGGAAAAAAACGTTCGGCCTGGGGATGTATATATTAAAACAAAAAAAAAAAAAAAACGACCCGTACCTGTCGGGCGAGGGGAAACTTCTAAGTCCGCGGGCGCCAACGTGTGCAAGACGGTCAGGCGTTGGTCAAAGCGAGCGGCGGGCTGCACAGGAAGCGACTAAGGACACGAAAGCGAAAGAACAAAGAAAACGAAAAGAGAAAGACGGGGCCCGATCAGACTGTTCATGCAGGCGTGGGAGTGCCGAGGAGGGACATGCAGCTACAAAGGTGGGCAACAACAAACCGTCCGAGACCTGGGGCTGGGGGCCGCCCGAGGGCCTGCGACCTCGGCCGCGGCTGCGCCGTGGGGGGCGCGCCGCGGCACTCCTCGCGGGCGAGCTGGTGCCGCGACATGGGCCGCGGCTGTGCCTGCCGGGACAGAGGAGGACGACGAGGACCAGGTTGAACCCGAGACGCATCAACAACGATGCAATAAACACTCTCTCGAAGTTCCCTCTTCACAAGCCCCTGAGAGAATTTATCTTGATTGCGGGATGTGGCCCAGTAGAAAGCCATCGCCTGAGAATCCTCAATCGTGCCGAAACGCCGTGCCTAGGACTTCAAGGCCGAGGACCAACGTCACTGGTATTTCCTGACAGTCCGAATCGTACCAAAAACTAGTTATGGGATTTCAACACCGCGAACCATCGTGAAACATGCGCCTGTGAGTAATGTGCCCTGACAGTCCAGAATCGCCGCAAGTTCGCGCAAACGTGCAAGACGAACCTGCGCGCGTTAAAACGAGAACTACAGCTTGAAAAGGAGCAGCCCTCCACTCCTGAAGCCTTTGCGAACTTTAGAACGAATGCGCGCGGTGCTCAAGCGAGGGCGACACGTTGACCATGAGTCGACCTCCACGTGTGAAGCGGCTGCAAGAGTTTAGAACGAATGTGCGCGGGGCTGAAGCGAGAGCCACATTTTGAAAAGGAGCTGCCCCCCATCTTTGAAGTTGATGCAAACTTGTAAAACAAAAACTCACGGCGTCCAAACGAGAGCGACACTTTGAAGAAGAACCGCCTTCCGTCTTCGACGGCGGTGCAAACGTTTGAAATCAATGCGCACGGCGCTACAACGAGAGCCACGTTTTGAAAACGGTACGCCCTCCACCCTTGAAGTTGCTGCAAACTTGTAAGACGGATGTGCTCGGCGCTCAGGCGAGAGCGACATTTTGAACAGGAGCCGCCCTCCATATTTGAAACGGCTGCGCACCTTGACATCGAAAATACGCGGCGCTAGAGCGAGAAGGACATCTTGAAAGGGAACTGCCCTCCGTTTTCAAAGCGTGTGCAGACTTCCGAAACGAATGTGCACGGCGCTAAAGCGACAATCACAGTTTGAAGACGGTACGCACTCCATCCCTGAAGCTGTTGTCAACTTTTATAAATTCTAACAAGGGCGCTCGCGGCGTTGAGGCGAGACCGACATTTTGAAAACAGCCCGCCTTCTTTCCGTGCAGCTTTTGAAAGCTTTTAAGCCGAATATGTGCGGCGCTGAAACGAGAAACACGCTTCAAAAAGGAGCCGCCGTCCATCCGCCAAATTGCTGCAATATTTTAAAACGAATGTGCGAGGAACTAAAACGAGAGCCACATATTGGAAAGGAACTGCCCTCCATATTTGAAGCTGGTGCGACCTTTTGATACGAAGGTGCACTGATTTTGACAACGGCCACAACTTCAGGATCATACATGGCGAGGAGGTATCAGGCGAGACGCCCGGCCCGCCATATCGACACGTCTGGGGGCGCAACAGGGAGGAATTATAAGAAAAAATGGAGGACGCCCCCAAACGAGGAGGACGCCCCTGAAGTGGGAGCGAGGACGGGAGAGAAGGAAAGTGGAAGGAAGGGGGAGGAGGAGGACGAGGAGGAGGAGGAGGAGGGGAAGGAGGAGGAGCACCACCGCGAAAGCCAGAGCATGGTGGACAGACCGACACAGGCACGTGCTGTGGGAGGAGAGGGTGGCCACCATAATGAAGGGCACGGCGATGCAGGAGCATGAGACAGAGTCTCAGCGCAAGTACATGTGCTACGATTGCGGTCAATTGTTTGGGTCACCCAGGCAATTGCAGGCTCATCGTGGAAAAAACGATCCTCAGCGACACGCACCTGCTTACATGAACGTTGGCACATCATGTGAAATATGTCGTTGGGATTTCCGTTCCAATGTTCGTTGGTATAAGCATCTAGCTCGGCTAAGCGATATTTGGGGGATGTTTGCTGCTGGCGTCAGATATTCTGAGGACGAGATCGCTGAGGTGCGTGAGGCTAGGACATTAACACAGCAGGCGAACCGTGCTAAAGGCCTCGCGGACGACTTTGCGGATCTTCCTCACAGGAGAACATCCAGACCCCCCCGTGGACCTAGCGTGTTGCAATTCGAACCCAGGATTGTGGAACCCATGGCCCCTGTTGCTGATCCTGCACTGCCTCGCCTGTGGTCTTTGCGTCGTGTCCCCCGAATGCTAGGCCCTGCCAGTCTGCTGGAGATCTCTCTTCTGGGCAGCGAAGGAAAGGGAAATCTGCAGTTCTGACTTGAGAAGATGATCGAGCAGCACCCCACCCCTTCAATAACATTGTCCGTTGGCATTACCCGCCCCATCACTTTCGGTGATTTGACCCATCTCTCTACTGTGGGGTAGGGTATTGATTGGGCCTCACGACCCAGGGGCGGGTTGCTGCAGTGATGGCTGGACCACCGTGCGAGACGTGGATCGCAGCTATACAGAACAGAGTTGAGGATCGGAGGCCCTGCCCTAGAACAGTCCATTATGTTGAAAAACCTTGGGAATCGGCCTACATCTCCCCCAAGGAGAGGGCAAACATTGGCACAGGCAGTGGGCTCCTGAGGTCTAGCATTGAGTTGTTGTTCGGCGCGTGGAAACTGAATCTCCCCGCGCTGATGGAGAACCTGGCTGCGGCTGAACATCGGAAGAGCATCCCTTCTAGTTGACGACTCCCCGTCCTGGCTAGGTTGAGCAACCAGGAGTTGTGTTTCATCGTGTGAACCAGTGCGACTCCGGTCATGCGGCTCAGAAGCCCGCTGGGCTACTTGCTGTTCGCGCCCCCCCCCATGCGCCGCGTTCGCGGGGAGGTGCCAAGACGGGGGGGAAGCGCCCACGATGCCCACTTACGGTCCGTATCCTTCTCAATTCTGCCGCTCTTGGGCTGGGTGTTTACTCGAAGACGCTTCTGGGCAGTCTCCTGGACCTGGTGCCCCATCCCCTTGGGCTTGCCCGGCGACGTTACCCCGTGCGTTGTGCCCCCGAACCATCCTTCCCCTAAGAGGAAGTCTGGGGCTCCCGTCGCGATTTTGCGCGATGTTGATCTCAGGAGAGGTGTTTTGCCTTTTCGCTTGGTCGCGCCCCTCTCAGGCGCTGCTCAAAGGCGGGGCGATGAACGGGGGTGGTCGAGGATTGCGGGAGGGCGGCGCGAAAGGGACTCCCGAAGGTGTACGAAATGCCGCCCCTTCTGCCTCACTCCCCTTGTGCCTCCCTCCCCCCAGTGCGTCCCCCTTCTCTGCCTCTCCGCCCCTACATTCTCTTTCCACCCCTGCCCCACCCCTCCCATCTGCCCATTCCCCCCCTTCCCTCCCAAGAACCCCCTTCCCGACCCCCCCGCCTTGGGGACCCCCGACGAGGCCCCGAAGGGGAACGAAGTGCGCACCTTTCTTCGCCCCCCGCCCATTGACTCCTCATTCGGAATCGCCAGATCTCTGGGAAAGGTCCTGTGGCCGATCATCTGGTTCTGGGGCTCCGGGAATGGTGGACAGGGGATTCGGAGCTGGGAGGGGCTCCCGGGCTTGGAGGGAGGGAAACCAGATCATGTTCCCGGAAACGCCTGATCCCTGGGAAAAGCCAAAACGCCCTATCATTGTTTCTGGGCCTCCGGAAATCCGCCCTGAATTTGTAGAAAGAGCACGTCCCCCGGACGGGTCTAGGGCTTGATTTGTTCTTGGGCGGGGAGACGGAGGAGGAGGAGGAGGAGGAGGAGGAGGAGGAGGAGGAGGGTCCGTAGCCATTTTGGCTCAAGTCCGGAGGCGTGAGGCTCAGAGGCTTGACCTTTTGGCAAAGGGATTCGCGGCCCGACCCCTTCCCATGGCAGGTGCCAGGCACATCACTTCGGTACTCTAGCTCTCACCTTGCTCGCACATTGTGAGACGATATGGAGGGCAAAGCATCTCGGAATTGATGGGCGTGCACCAACAAGCGTTGCGGGTACAAAGGCAATTTCCACTGGCGCACCACGTGTCGTATCTGTGGGGCCGAGCCTCCTAGCGTGCCCAAAGGTTCGCCGCAACGTGGGCCGTCAGGCAAGTGGAAAGATGGGCCTCCCCGTGCTGGTCCTTCTGCTCTCATCCTGCCTGATGAGCTCGTTGTAGTGTATGCTAAGATGACCAGCGCTGACTACGCAGTTGTTGCTCAAGGTCTGTCACCCAAGAATGCAGCTCGAGTTGCGGCGGCTCGGAGCCTTCAGAACGGTGATGCTCTTCCTACCGCTCGTGCTGCTCGTCAGGCGTCTGATGCTATCCAGCAGAAGCTCGAACATGCGCAATCTAAATATGACAAGGCTGTGGCTGCGGCGGCCAAAACCATGGAGTATATGCAGCAATGTGCTACCGACCTGGCCGAGTGCAAGGCCAAGGCCGACGTGGCGGCAAGCAAGGCGGCAGCCGCCTACGCCGCCATCGGAGGCGGCCCGCCGCAATCCTCTGACCCTCTCGTGCAGCTCGAGAGCCTCGCCCAGCCCCTCGCCTCCGTCGTTCCCAGCGCAGCAGAGGCGCTCAAGCCCATCGCCGAGCAGGTCAGGGCGCAGCTCGAGGAGCAGCAGGCCAAAGCAGCTGCAGAGGCAGCAGTGGAGGCCGAGCGTCAGCACCAGCAGCAGGCCCAGCAGCAGCCACAGGCTCAAGCGCCTCCTGGCGCCAGCGGCGTGCCTGGCGTTCCAGATGCAGCGTTCTGGGGGCAGTGCGGCAATCCCGAGTTCTTCGATGACTTCCTCAAAGCCCAGAACATCCCTGTCAGTGGCGCCGCAGACATGGAACAGGATCCAGACGCTGCAGGCTCCGATGGCAGGACTAAGATCAGCCGCTCTCTCTACACCAGTCTCTTGGCAGACATGCAGGAGCATGCTGCCAAGAAAGCCAAAATTGCATCGCCCTCTTCTTAACGCGTGGACACTCATCACCTCCAACGTCTCGGGCCACGCTTGGCTCGAGACAATTCTAAATTCGCAGGCCGTCGTAGAGGCAGATGCGGTCGGCATGCAAGAACATCATTTTTCGCAATGTTCAGCTTGGGAGCAGCGGCTCCGTCACATGGGCTGGAGGGCTTCGGCTACCGTGGCCAAGTCGACAGGGC